AATGATGCAATAATCACCAACATGTTTGTTTATTTTTCTCTTTCTTGGGTCCTGTTTTGTATTTTATTAAAGTTGTTAATCTGCTTTAAGCTTCAGGAGGCTGCTTGAATCAATAGCTCTGTGTATGAATCCACTGAGGCGGAGCACATGTCTGCCTTCTGATGCTGTTGCTGCTCTTTCACGTCTATGTGAACACATTTAGAAAGCTTTAAAAAGCCTCTACATGTTTAACATCTGCAGACACAGAAGCTGTTACAAGTGACAGCTCTTCTTCACCATGATTTATGATAGGGGCCTCGCTGCATTGTAATGAAAGATAAAGCAAAAAGACAACGACTGGCAGTGACAAATGGACCACATGTGTTGCAGAGTTGTTAAAACTAAATATTCTATATAAATTATCCACTTTCAATCTGTCTTCATTTGGTCTCGTATCTCAGTCAATCAGTCAAATGCACATTGACATCTGTTGTCAAACTGACTGTTAACTTGATCTCGGCCAACGTCTTCTTCACAACCGAAGGGTGTTTTTGCCCGTCAAGGCTGCTATTCTGTTGATGATGAGGTCAGCGACACATTTAATCTGGTCTAACAGATTTCAATAAAACCCTTGACTTCTCCTAAGATTGTTTGTTGGAACGCACTAAAAATTTACTTCAGCCATTTTTGATGTTGTTAGTAAAAAGACAGTGCTGCCTTTCAACATAAGGATGTTTTTTACATTGACACATCCTTGAGTAAGTGGTGAATGCGTGTCTTCATTTAAAAGCCAAAAACAAATTTATGGATTTAACTCAGAAGTTCAGACCAACACATTCCTTCCAAACCCTGTCTTTATGACCTGTGATCTAAATGTATTTCCACCATGGCAGATTCTAGAACGGACTCATATTCTGACATTGTCCACATTGTCAAAAAAATAAAACAAAAAAAATCAAGTGACATGGACATAAACTCAGGTCTACTGCATCTTCAGCCTTAAGAGAACTAAATTCAGATTAATCCCTGTTTATGAATTCTGATTACTTCTGCTTAAGTTTTAGACTATTAAACTATTATTTTTGTTTTTATCTTTCTGCCATGGGAACCTACCGAAAGCATTTCTTGGTTGCACTGGGGTTAAAACGCATACATTAACCAGCAGTGAGCATGAAATTTAATGAGCTGTAACTGTGGAGGATTTTAAGTGGAGTCTGTGGTCATCCCAGAAGTCCACTGATCAGGGTTGTAGCTCTGTAATACATTGTCATAAAAAAAGTGGCCAGGCAAGAGGCCAATATATTTAGTTAAGATGTATTAGGTACTATATGAGGATGCAGGGTTGAGACGAGGCTATAAATGTATCTCTTACCTCTTCTCAATGTCAACTTGTACATACGACAATTATATTAGGAGTCCATCTTTATGAATTAGTTGCAAGGCATACGCAAGGTGGTTTTGTACACTGAAGATGTGTTTGGTATAAGTATTCAAAGGTGCGTTCAACTTCAGTGATTCAAGGAGACGATCGTGTGCTGTCAGGTCACTTTCTTCAGAAAAAATAATTTGTCATAATTACCATATTCTGCAAATTTACCACCAATAATGGTTATAGTCTTTTAGATTTTAAAATAACTAGATCAGAGTCAAACTTTGTCCCTGGGAATTAGACCAATGACACTCACCAAACACTAGCTTAGTGATAGATATCCTGAATGTACAGTAGAGCTTATTTTAGCTTTAGCATATCACTGACACAAGCCTTTGGTGTGACAGATTGGCCTCCAAAAGTCTGTTTGCTTCCTGCAGGGGAGAATTGGCAGAAGGGGAAGGAGCAGAAGTAGTTTGAAGTGAATGCTGGGATTCCATTCCTTTAGCCACATGCTACCTGTGAATAAAAGTGAATAAAGAGGTCGAGGTATCTGTGTGTCTGCGGTGGTCACACCACATCAGGAGGTAAATGGGAAAGAATTTGCAGGCTGCAAAGGACGGTGACATAAAGTAATGTGTGGGAATGGCAGCGCTGAAGTGTTGAAGGAATAGAACGCACAGTATGGCTTCTATCCAGAGAGACCAGCCCCAAAAATACACCAGCTTCGCCTGACGGGGCAGATAATCCTGTTTCTAAAGAACAGGGATGGCTGGGAGCGGCTGCAGCTCAGACCCCCTGCAGAAACTGGTGATCAGAAAGAATGAGGGGCACTGGGCGACCAAAATAGAGGGTGAGGTGACAGAGCTGTACATTTAAGTATATGTGAGTGTGTATGTGCCATGAGACGCACACACACTACGACAAATTCCTTCGGTCAAAATGAAAGGTCCAGTGAGGGCAGCAGTCCAGATAATATTTCTCACCTCCTCATGTTACAGAACAACGTTCTGTTGTTGCCACCCACCCTCTTTTTTACTTACCCTCCATGGGTGTGTTGCCGTCTGGTCTGTTTGCAAAAACAACATCCACATACTCGAGCTGCATCCTCTGGAGGGAGCCCTTCAAACCTAAGGAGCAGGGAGACCAGAGGCTGAGAGATGCAGGAGAGATTTATTCAAAGAGAATTCATGAAAATAATGAAAAACGTTGCCTTTGATGCAGTCTTGGTGTGGATGTTTCTGAAAGTTACGTGTGGACATCAAGAATAATATGTACCATTGTCATGATATATGCAACTATTGCATGAAATATAGCAAAAAAAATGCAGTGTTTGTAGACATTTCTAAGAAAGATGAACAACAGAATCATGCAAAAGGGTCCGGCTAGAACAGGATCCGGCACCTCCAACATTAGATACACACGCCTAGTGTTAAGTGGAAAGTTGAACCACTAGGTGGCAGACTTTTTAAGGTATGAATAGATATAAACATCATTGATAAGGACATTTATAGTACCAATTAAAATAAGATACCATCTGTGATAACACCCACCCACCCTTCACTCCTGTGTGTTATGCATACATTCAGCATTTATTAAAAGCAACAGCCTTTATTTATAAATTATATCAATACCAGTGGGCCCTGGGATATCAATCAATGAGGTAACCTATGATCTTAACGTAGTCCTCTTCTCTGGTTCTTCGGAGAAGATTGATTATAAATTTCTGCATGCCTATCCATTTTTTTATACCAATTAGTTGAACCTACTACGTAGACGAAACATCGGATATGGACAATCTATACATTCCCATGCTTATTCCTCATAGGCAACATGACACCACTAAATTGGACGCTGTGGGATTTCAAATCTGAACGTTCATAAACACAGCAAAATAGAAGCCACGTGACTCAGGGTCTGTCAGCTGCAGCTAGTTTACAACGTCATTACACATAAATCTGACCTGTCATATCCAGCCTGGGCTCAACAGTATGAATCATAGCCAGCCATTAACCATTATTATGTGATGATTCTGATCATGGTATTAAATGACCGTATTTAGACTGCAGTGTATCGGTCAGCAAAATTATGCCTTAGTGACTTAGTCACACTGTTCTACCACTACAGAACAAAACGTCCAAAGGTTTTTACAAGGGCAGCCAAATGATGACGTAAAGGCCCGAGGGCCAAATCTAGCTTTTATATAAATGGTAATGGAAATTTTATCCGAGAGACATTGTTTTGTTGAAAAGATGTTTTAAATTCCTTTTTTTATGTTTTTTTTTGTCAGAAAAAAGTCAATGTTAACTACAGTGGAAAGAAAAAGTAAGGAAAAACTGAGAAAACCATTAAACGTGCAGAAGCGTTCCTTTAAAATAAAACAAATTTTGAAAAAAAAACAAAAAAAAAAACCTTTAGCTTAGAAATAGCCAAAGGTAATAAAACTAGTAAAGTGAGAAAAATCTGCCAATTCAACAACTTTCTTTAAGCACAGCAGTATCTAGGAAATTAAATTGCTGAAGGAGATTAAATTGACTGAGTGTCATCCAAGAGGCTCTAAACATTTTACAAAATCCAAAAGGAGAAAATAATCTTTCACACTGATGTTGGGTATTAAAATATTCCAACAGAAAAGTTTTGGGTTATATAGATGTCATCCAAGAGCAGGGTTTGACTCCTGTGTTCAATTTTATTTCTGTGTCAGATTACTATGTTTATTATCATCAGAAATTATGTTTTTGTGTGTTTCAACCAGACTTTATGAAAGGTCACACTGAGGGTTTGGGAGATAATTTTGAATTTTGAAGATGAATATCTGCCATGCCAAGTTCACCACAAATATCTCCTTAGTAAAATAAACTACACGGAAAACATAGCAGCTCACTTGTGGCACAGTTTATCTTTGTTAGATAAATGAATGCAGTCCTGACAGTTGATAGCTGGACTGAATAACTCAAAGCAAGAGGGAAAGTGAGAAAGATGGAGGTCGTCAAAAAAGGTCACATTTATCCCCGCCCCTCCACACGGACACAGCTTTCAGGGACAGCGTTGAGGAGAGAATAAACGGGCGGCATCCCATTGTCAGCAGAGCAGTCGCCTTTTCAGAGTCACAGTAAGAACAGATGAGAGATGAAAAGCCAACATGGGAGACTGTCACTAAGGACGGGAGCAAAGTAATAGACAAGGAGCTCAGTGCTCATGAGATGGTGTGCGTGTGCAGGGCAGATAAGTGCCAGAAGCCTCTGCGTCGCTCGCTAATCCCTGCTGAGGAATTCGCTCTCTCCCACCAGCGTTAGCAGCTCTCACTCCTCTGCTCTGTCTACTGTTCCCTAAAAATTCCAAAAAAGCTGGATGTTAATCTGAGCCTGCACAGTCATCACATGCAGTTTTCTGCTGTCTCGTGGTGTCCTGGCTCTGTGTCTATTTTAGGAACAGGGAAATGATGACAAACCTTCCAAAACGACTCTCCTGATACCTGTGATGAATGCACAGAGCGTGCATTCTGTAAAATAGTCTTAATAAATGGCTAAAGTTAAATAAAAAACAACTTCTCTGTAGATCATTTGTTCACTGATGTAAAATACTCTTCTCACTTTCTGTGAGTTCACCAACCGTGATCTCTGCGTTTGATCATTAGGTTGAGACCATCCATCACAACCAAATGTCACTTTTACCAAATAAACGATGCATCCAGCCCGTGTCACCAGCACCAGTTCATTAGCCGGTTGTGACATGTGCCACACCAGCGGAGACAGGGACACCTCTCACCCACAGATGCCATCTATCTGTACCGGCAAACTCAGTTTAGCTAATTACCAAAGTTGGCACCTTTTTCCCCCCTATCTGTCATCAGCGTCCTCCCACTTTCTCTCCCTTCTGTTCCAGCCCTCTCTCAGTGTTTCTCCTTCTTTTCTTCAGGAGGGATGTTGCAGAGGCTGCAATGCATGTTAATGAGGTGAGAGAGCTGAGTCATTGCAGGAGGCTACAGATTGGATGATAAGTTGATCAGGAACTTTGGTGGACTGAGTCAAGGTTAAAAGAAAATCATCATTAAATGCCCAGGCAAAGTAACAAGAATGAGCAACGAGTAAAACCACAAGGCTCTACATTTATTTTTAACATATTGAATTAAAAATGGTGGTGTTCTTCTCAAAGGTGATCTCGGCATCTCTAGTGATACCATGGTATTCAGACTGTATATGTGAAGGTACTTTTTAGCAATAGTTTTATTAGCATTTATGCTATTTTATGCTTAAAAATCATATATGAACTGTGTGATAAAATGAGAAAAAAAATCTTTTTGGGCACCATTTGAGCAAAATGGTGCAAAATCATGTCTTGATATGAAGTCAATCTGCTTTGCTGTCCGGCCTGCATTCCAGGTATATTTTAAAGGTGCATTATACAAAGTCAATGTTAAATTGAATAACCATTTTTTAATTTCTATTGCATACTTGGAAAGCCACACTTCTGGAAATTATGCTGCTACAACACACTATAACTGAACGGCATAACTTTTAAGCAGTGATGCTCTATCTAACTTTTAGATTCTGCTGCTTACAGATGCTGGTAACGACAGTGTAGTAGGAAGAGAAGATGAAAGAGGAGATTACGGGAGTGCAGCAGGGCTCCATGAGATGAGGTGATGTGAAGGACAAAGGCAGCGGAGGAGAATTTGGCTTGTTACCTTCAATAATGTGTTTTCTGTTCAGGCCTCTTTCTGTCTCTGCCCTGCAACAGGACAAAAAGAAAACCGTCACTGAGGTCGGGATTCATTTCCTTCCAGTGGAGAGCGGCAGAATGTTAGACATTTAGAAATAGAAAAACCACCCTACACAACATCAAACAGATCACTGAGTGAAAATAATATAATTAAGCAACAATTAAATTAAGTGCTGAGTTTTCAAGGCCATAAAACTTACAACGTTGTCTAGACACTGCCTCTCTTGTACGGAGAATGGTTTGGGATTTTGAATTAAATTTGTAGCTTATCCTTTAGCTATTTACTGAAATTTGTAAGTTTATTTCTTAAACAGCAAGTTCCCTAAAAAAAATCAAAGTCTGATTAGGTGTCCAGTAATAGAAAAAAAAGTCAGTCAGTCAGTTTTTATTGCAAATGTTGGCCATGTCACATTTGTGAATAGTGCTGTAAGGTGTGTGAGAATCAAGGTAATAAGGTTGGAGCACTGCTAGCAGCCCAGCTCAGTCGGAGGTCACGCAGCTGTTCCTCAAAGCCATGTTGTGTGCAGACAGATTCTGCTCCTTGATAATCATCTTAGAGAGAGTGAGATTAAATGTGTCCAATTACACACGGGCCCTATTCTACTGATCCACATTGGATAATTAAAAATATCCAGGAGAAAGATGAACAAATGAAGCCTCCGCACACATTATCATAAAGACTGAACCACTTAAGAAGTTGTTAATATAAAGTGATGACAAATTGTACTGAAGGAGGCTGAAAAAGGAAGGATATCAAATACATACTGTGTGTCGTTGCATGTCTAGTGGATGTAGGCCATTAACATGCGTGGCTCTGTGTGTGAGAGAAATGCAACATACTTATGTAGAGTTATTAAGACAAAGATGCCATGAAAACACACTTACTTTCCTCCCCAGTAGAGCTTTGTGGTGATAACCAAACTGGATCTCCTTGAACAGGGAAAAAGACCATTAAGAAACTCCCTGTTAATACTTGTAACAAACTAAGCTAAGCAAATTGTATTTTTAAGCGACTTTGACTTTTTTGTCATTGCTGTGAATTTGAATTTCAGTCATTGTAACAAAAGGTGGAACTCTTATTTTTGCACACTCAGCAAGGTTCTATACTTTGTTTTTTATCTTATTACCCTCTAGTGCAGTGGAATGAATTTGCTGCTTTTAGCTAATGCTTTACTCAAATACGTCTCTTTTTTGTAACTAATTTCAAATTTTTAAGGGTCACCGTGCCGTGAGTCTCTGTCTTTGGAAAAATAGCTATTTAAAAAATTATTTTGGTTCAAATTTGCATATTTGTATTCAGACAGAACACGTTGGCAGCAACACAAAACATTTACATGACGGCTTTAGTTGACCCTTACATCTACGAGCTAGGGACAGGTTTGGCTCCTTGCCCTGGATCAAAGCCTTGTGGATAAAATGGAGCAGCAACTGGAGACAGAACTTCAGAGCTCAACATTAATATCTGACCTCGCTAAAGCTCTTTTAGCCTGTCAGGCAAAGCCTCAAATTCGGGCTCCAAAAAAGAATCTCCTTCCCAGAAGTATGGATGCAGCTCTGCCTGGTTTCTACGCCCTTGTGATCAAATGCACATGACTGTGTGGTTTTCGTGCCCACGTGCTTCAATTGACACGCACGTACACAATTTGAGCCTATTTTTGAAACACATGCCGAACCTCCTGCGGTGTGGAGAAGCTGTACATTACCTCCAGCATTTCTTCTTGATGATGTTTCCAAGGATTATCTCAGCTCTGTGGAGACACAGGAGGAGATAATGAGATTATGCAGTTCGTCAGGAAGCCTTTTCTAAGAACATCTAGGCATGACTGTTATCTGTGTCACATCTATGACATTGAAAAAAAAACTGAAGGAGTTCAGGGAGAGGACTGGAAAACAGTTGGTGTGTGCATTCAAACCCCAGTTGCAACGATGTAATTAAAATTCACCCTCACACCGATATACCCTGTCCTGCATTATTCCCTACAACAATGTTCAGCCCCGTAAAGTCAAACTGTACTGTTGTAGGGCAACCTTCAGTGATGAATACCATTATGCAAATCTCTTCTGAGTCACAGCTATCTTTCATTGTGGCATCCCACAGGGACGAATTTTTATCCTGGGGCCGAATCTTGTTAAAGTCCAGTGTCTGAGGTGGAAAAGAAGATGCAGAGACTAAAAAAAGGCACTCTGCAGATTCAATCAGGAATCACAGAGACCACTCACTTCCCCCCAGAGTACACTTCGGCGGTGTCGAACAGGTTGACCCCACTCTCATAGGCAATTGTCATCAGCTGCTCAGCCACCTGACAAAGACATGAAAAGTTTCATTTAATGAGCTCAGTGTGAAAACAGGGCTATTAATCCTCCCCTGCAGCCCAGCACTAGGAACACTGCACAGGTTACTGCAGGTGAGTACAGACAAGACAGGTGAGTACAGACAAGTCAATGCGGTCTTAGAAGTTTTTTGCTTGAAAACGATGTGGACTTTTTGTTTATCTTGTTGGACAGTTATTTTCAAAAGGGGCTTTTTATCAATGGTTTATGGTGAAAAACACATTTCTTCATCAATACAAGATGATGACAGTATCAATGATTGATGTTTTGAAAAATTCTGCAAAAGATGTGATAACAAAGATAGAATTTGTAGTTATCATCCATCCATCCATCCATCCATCCATCCATCCATCCATCATCTCCCTCCTAATCCCTTGCAGCCTCATGTTCATACCTATGGCCAGTTTAGTGTCCAGTCACTCTAATCCCTAATGATGGGGAGACAACCCACACGCACAGGGAGTTCATGCAAATCCCCTACAGACACAGTGACCAGCTGTTATCTAAACCTAGTAATTCTCTGCTAATTGTAGCCTCAGCATCCTGTTCACGATGGCGTGGCAGTAATTTGAAGTGTTGTACACTCAGAGGTGGTTTTTTTTTTTTTTTTTGCTTTCTGGGGTTTTAGACAGAAATCCTCATTCTTATTATCTCCAACCAGTCAGTCATTATCTTTTTAGCGCTGAGCTCAACAAAGTGTTCTTTAGAGAACTACCACTCACTGAATTATCTCTCGTTCGGACCATTTTGTGTAAACTCTAGAATTGGTTATGCGGTTAAAACTCAGTGGATCTGCAGTTTACGGATACCCAGATGAGTAGACTTTAAATCTGGCACCAACAACCATGCCACACTCTAATCCACCTCTATTACAGTTCTCTTCTGTTCTGAAAAACTGTTTGAACTGCATATGGTCATCTTAACCATTTGCAGTTAAGTTGCTGTGCCTGATATAAACAGAAGATCATCATATCTATGACTGTTACTTTGGCCGCTCAAATAAAAACTCTTGGTTTCATATCCACTACTAATGGAGGCTATAGATAAAACCCTGATTCTTGTTCTTAATAGAACCTAAACGCATTCTACAGCTGGCTGTGGGACTGATCACACAAAGATTTATGTGTTCTACTTCCACTCACACATTCTATATTTTCAATTTACACTACACGGCTCTCATGTGGTCTACAAATCAGACGCTGCTAACTGTCGCTGCTGCTGAAATTAAAAAGGGCCTAAAACTGCCCATGAACTCAAACAACTCACGCCGGGATGACAGACGCCATGATGACAGACGCCACGGTGCCTTACCTCGTCGGAGATCTGACCTCCAAATGTCACCCAGGTGCCTGAAGGAGAAGGAACAGTTTCATGTTATTTAAGTTGTTCTGCCTTAATCAAAGGAAGACGCTGGGCATTTTCTTTGAGTGCACTAAAGCTAGTCATGTATTAACCCTTGGTATATAGCAGGGATAATTAAGTAGTGGCCCGTGGGGCCAATCTGGCCCATGATTGGATTCCAAAATTATGAGGATCAAAAAGAAAATATTCTCCACAATTTGAGTATCTGATAAAAAACAACAACTGAGATTTTAATAACTATTAGTAATTTAATTCTGGCCCTCCAACAAATATAGTGGGTGACCCCTGGTGTATAGGCTGCAGAAATCCAACTTTTGCACAGATTGTTTTTTCATGAGTTTCAGTGGTGCAAATAACAACACACAAGGTGTTGGCATCTTTAAAGTCAGATGGGGTGAACACTGTGTTTGTGGCAGCAACAGAATCACACCCTGTGGTCCAATTACTGTGGTACTGACTACCAACATACAGACAACTGTGTTCAGTGCACAGAGGTACATACGTTTTTTTTTTTTAATGTTCATATTGTTGCATTTGTCACGTTTATCCTCACTTTGTTGTCTTTTCAGAATTCTGTCAGATTTCTGACAAGAATTCCTCCTTCAAACAGCATAGACTAAAGCTGAACTCAGTTTTGTCAGGATTTTTTTTTTTCACGGTCTCAAAATCTGATTCTGACACATGCTGTGTATCATATCCTGCTAATGAGAAATAATGCAGAAGTTGTGGTTAAATCTGCATAAGCAGCGTAGACTTGGCCTCATTTTTTACCACCACTGCTCAGTCATGTTGGAGCAACTGATTTAGCAAATGATTGTTTCCTGCCTAATTAGAGAACTACAGAATTCAACAAACCTGATACCTATATAATGGCCAGTTTTATCTGGTTTCCTTAATTTAGTTCCTAATCTTCTATCAGTTTAATGGAAGTAAGTCTAGAAGCATCTTGAAATCAAACACTCTAACCAGGGTTATACCAATTAAAAAAAATCTTGATGTAAATGATGTAACTCAGTTTTTTGGCTCAGTCTCTGTCATTTAAAGGCGTAGCTAAACTTTTAGATTTAACACGGAGAGAAAAAGTATCGTCATTTCTTATAACACATTACTGTTCATTTACTAAACCCAGACTTTGGTTAGAAAGCCAGATGAAAGTGTTTGGCCTGTGTTTTTATTAAAACCTCAGCCACTGGAGAATATAGGGCATCTACTTCGCAGTGACATCCATCAGTACTGCTGCATCCTTAATAAAGAGACGGCATCAGAAGGCGCTGACAAACAGAAAGAGATGCTTGCAGAAACAGCAGGGGGGTGGGGGCTCTGGCTGCAGCATGTGCTCATTATTAGGGTAAAAAAGAAGCACATGAGCTGAACTGGAGTTCCTCCAGGTTCATCTGGACATCAAAACACTGTCACATTCATGTATTTATTCAATCTCTGGCACACTCAGGAGTGACTGACTCCAACTGTTTCAATATTTCCTGTATGATGGACTGCACCGTGTTCTGTTCACACACTGTATATAACCCCACCTATGTACATATATTTTTTATATTTTATATTGGTGACATCATGTCCTTCTTCATGCGAGTCTTTTTTAACTGGATCCTTGTGGTTGTCGCATTTAAACGGGCTGACATAAGGCTACAGTAAACAGCCAACCACAAAATTGGAGCTAAGCTAAAGACCTAACGTTCTTGTTCTTTACCAACTGCAGCACTGACCTGGAACAGTAGGGTCATGTGACAAATAAGCTAGAATTCTACTTCAAACCAAGCTCACACATACAGACAGCAATTCTTCTTTTTTTTTCTCTGACTGAATTTGTTATAACTACAAGATGAATGAAGCAAATTTCCCCCTGAAAAACTTGTATTTTATTTTTATGTATAATTGTTTAATGTGTTGTCTGGTCAACAAAATAAAGACAGAATTTACATTTTTTCTCATCCAGGTCTTCACTCTACTCATATTGGCACATGCTGCCCGTCATTTTCCAGTAATGGGAAATAATTACAGAAGCAAGTGTTAAATGTGTAGCCATCTGCAGACGTGGGAGCGGAGCAGCTAAGCCTGAGCCCAATTTTTCAAAGCTGCCATACTGGTTTAAATAAATAATGTATTTTTTTTCCTCCAACTCCGTGCTTTCATAATCTGAATCAACCAAAAGGAGGAACTCCAGGCCTGCCAATCCTGTGCTATCGCTGCCTTAGCTCCGGAGGAAACGGTAGGATGGGATTAGCGAAAGAGTCTGGATTTCTTTAGCTGTAAAAATACTGTTGTTAAAATGAGCAAAATTAAACTTCAAGCCGGGCAACAAAACAACCCACGGACGAAATGGAACCTGTTTGATCGCAAACTGCTTTTCTTTTTCTTTTTGAGAAAATTACTACAGGAAGGAATCAATACGATGCTCAGGGGCACTACAGCACAGCCGAAGCTGCCAATATTGACTGTTGATAGTCATTTATAGACGTGACCTCTCTGTTTACTCTTCCAACCTGCTGGATTTTGTGTTGTGGAAAAGAATCAGCAGAGTGGATTTTTTGCATCACTGAATCTCTTTCAGTTTGGTCCAGTGATTGGTCAGGTGTACTGTACTGTATGGCTCCCCCTGCAGACGCCTCCTTTAGATAATTTGTTGACATTTACATTTATGCATTTAGCAGAGGGTTTTATCCAGAGTCAAACAATCAAGCATGCAGATCCTCTGGGAATAGACGAGTTAAACAAAGTCTCTACCAGTGGCTTCATGTTCTAAGATATAATATAAAATATATACTTGTTAAGTTAAACGACACTGATATTAATGAAAGGTACTCACCGAGACCCAGACAGGACACACGCAATCCAGATTTACCCAGGTTCCTATGGTGAAAACAGAAAATATATTAACAAAGCTGTCGACTTTAACCAACAGTTTCAATCTGAAGATTAAATTGTCGTTAGATGTACTGAGATTACAGAGCTTTTGACCTGAGAGTGGTTTTTAATTTTACAGCCTTGTCAGTTAAAACTTTATGACAAAGGTTTCTGGAAGGACCAGTAGCATTTCTCAGACCCTTGTGAAATTAAAAATAATGTGATAATGGTGTTTATTACTTTGTGAAGATTAATCAGATTTAGATTTTTAATGCCATTTGACGTGCGAAATATATCCACGACTGCACCGTCCGCACAGAAACATTCAGGAAACAAATGCTTATAGGTTTTTTGAATACAAAATCTTAGGCATACTCTCAGAGTAGTATTTGTGTCTTGTGTTTCTTCATAAATAAAGACTCTTAAATCAAGTTTATGACTCTGAACTGTGCTTCAAACTTGAATTCAAAAACATAATTTGTTGTCGCCATGCTCTGCTGTTGAACTTATGTCGTTAAAGAGAAGATTGACAGTGACAGCCCAACACTGTGTCTTCACAGCATCTTGTGTTGAACATTCTGCATGCGACTGGTATGTTAGAATGCAAAAGTGGCCTCTCTTTGTCTGCTATTTATACAGAGCTACTTCTGGAACCAGAAGAGAGATTTCTAAGTCAACTGTGCAGGGAACCATTGTGTCCAACCACAGGGCTGCACCCGTTTATATAAACTGGTCTATGAGGTCTTTGGCATCCAACTAAGATCCAGTAACCTGCAGTCTGTCGGCTGTAGAGGCGCAAAGAGAAAGAAAATCAATTGTAATAAGTTTTCTAATAATTACTGGAGGTTTGTTGGTATCAACATTGTCCCGTGTGACACATGAATCAGATCTGTGAGGACAGGGAGGAGGAGGAGGGACCTGATTTATATGATCAATATTGATGCCACATTAACAAGAAGCTCTCTCTCTCTATCTCTATCTATTTCTCTGTCTCTCTCACTATCCATAATCTTTCTCTAAAAAAAAAAAACTACTCTGATTTACACTGTACCAGTGATTGTAACTTTTTTTTTCTGTTTTCTGTCTCTCCCACTCATTCCCATCGCAGTAATATTATCTTTTGCTCAGAGGTTTTGATCCGCTGTTAGGGAGCTCTTTGCTACTATTTTCCGTTATAATCGTCTTCCCCAAAAATTCTCAAAGACTTACTAAAGCTCTTTTGCTGCATCGTTGCGGTTCTCCTAGCTACAGCCACCTCACAGACCCAGAGTATTTCCTCCAATCTTCCATAATCTTCTGTCTAACTGTGTATAGCTAATGTTTCACAGCTTATCGTCTTACCTCCAGCTGATCTGCCACACTGTACTGTACATGAGACACTCACCCTCATTAAGACAGAAGAAGAAAAAGAACTGTGTTCTGGAGTTGGTTTTTCCAACTAATCTGACAATCTGTGCCACATAAAAGGCCAAACGAGGGGGGAGCTCAAGTGGAGCAGACTTGTAATGGCTTAACATTGATGACAATGGCAATAACAGATTGTTCTGCCTGCAGGCGCCACAGGTGTCTCTGTTCTGGGCAGTGTAGGATAAAAAAAAAAACCCTAAAAAAACTAGAGGACGAAACACAGACAGAGGGAGCGACTGGAAGCAAACACTGTGAAATTGGAACGTCTCTGTGTGACAGACAGAGCCACTATCACAAACGACACCGCACGTGGTCACCCAATTTCCACCAAATTCCTTGGTCTTGACGCAAACAATCTCCAATTACGGACCGTGGATTTTACTTCCTGTCTGTTGGTGCCGGAATTTAGACATTGCAACAAATGAGGCTGTGAAAAATGCCCGCGGACGTTTTCTGGCCACAGCTAATGGGCCGTGCGCGTCAGGATGAAGGTACGTAGACTAATCGGCACCATCTGAGCGCACCCTCAGCTGATTCAGTTAGACGTCCACAGAGAGACATCAGTCATTAATTCAGTGGTTCCAACGCGGTGCCAAGCTAGAGGAAGAAAACACATGAATCAAATTGTTTGCACATAAACACCGAGTGATTTGATAACGCTACATATTCTTTGTGTAACGCATAATCAATGAGCTGATAACGGCATGAGTGGAGAAGACCGCAGGGCAGTTCTCACTGCAGTGGCAAATCGTGGGCTGCTGATGTGGTGGAGGAGTTTGGATATTCCATCCTCCTCTGATGTATTAGTGGGAGCTCTGATTCATGAAAGTGGTGAGGGGAGGCTTGTACCGGGGGTCAAGAGCAACACTGGCTGCAACTGTGTTGAGTGTGTTTGGTCAGGGGGAGTTTTTCAGGGCAAAAATCACAGCCACGTTGTGCACGATGCCCAATTGGAACAATATTCTGTGAAGTACTGAATATAATCAACCTTGAACGTGTGCTTTCCGTGCTGTATTTATTTCTGGAGAGGCCCTACATACCGTCAATTGTTCCTGCTTTTGTGCTGCTTTAATTGCCTTCATAATAACAGGGCATAAACAAAGCTGACACTCAGCTAAAGAAAGCCGTTTCTGTACATGGGGAAACAAAGCTGCAACATCTACTTGATTATTAACCACACAGCTTACAATTTCACATTAATAGACCTGTCCAGGTCTGGGATGTGGGCTGCTCTCAGACGAGGTACACTGGAAAGGGAGCTAATGATTCAGAGGATTACAGCATGCCATTGTCAAACAAAGGAAAAGAGAGAGAGAAAAAATGGAAGCTGGGGGCAGAAAATGTAGTCCTGCACAGGATACAGCGCCACCAGGATTTCATAAGGTGTGTTGTAATGGAACAAAGTAACAGCACTTTTTGAAATCGCCTGCACCAGCATGTCCAGATACATTTTATCAAGCCGGGCTGCATGGCTCGGTCCATCATGCTTGAATGGTGCCCAAAAGGAGCCTTCAAGTAAAATGACTGATGAGTCATTTGAAAACACCCCCACACAAACCTGTCATCACTTATGAACATCCTACAAGATGCTGCTGTGTGAAGCACTTCTCTGTGGAATGAAACGTTAAGATTTTCCTTTTTTTTTCAACTCTCAACTCTCACTCACGTGGTTCTCTGCACAGAGACTGTGACATTTGTACGGTCGGATCTTACCGTGTTTGATTGTTCAAATCAATACTTGTCAGCAAGGTTATGAGTTCCAGATGAAAGTTTGCTGCAGTTCGGGATTACTGTAGACGGAGTCAACCCACACAGGGCCACCGTGACGGGCTGGGGGATTAAACAACACCCACCTCCTCGATTCCCACCACTCTCTCGATGGCAAACCATAATGTTGTTATCAAAATCAGTCAATACCAGGGAGAAAGGCAGGTCACTCTCTAAATAGATCAAAGCCAGAGCTGGTGTGGGCGGGAGGGAAGCGAAGGAGTAGAATCGAGCAATTTGAGGGAAAAATGAAAAGATTGGATGTGAAGATGTGTTCTGCATGAAGGTGGTCAGAAGAGTCAGGGATGGAGAGAGGGAGAGAGTGAATAGGAGGGAGAGAGAGAGGGGGGGGGGGGTTACAAAAAGAAAAGGGAGAGATATGAACTAAGACACAGTGGCCAAGACTGGCAGAACTGCAAGTTTGGACTGAATGTGTCAAGTAAAAAAAAAAACACAGATAAAGCATTCCATATAGTATGACAGGAACTGACAGTGACCTCCCAACAGGGGGCCACATAACGTGTGTGTGCATTAGATTTAAAAAAAAAAACAACCAGAAAAACAGAGAAGTAAAAGTAAGAATAAAAAGTTAACAATTAAGAACTAAGGGTTATATTTACAGCATCTCACACACACACACACACATATACACACATGCATATTTATATATTTTTTTGTTTGTTTCAGGAATACATTTAAAATGACTCCTGTTACAGTTTAGTTGTCAAGGCTACTGAGACCTGAACTTCCTGTTTGTGCCATAACAGTGTACTGATGAATTACACAGTTGATTGTAATTGGTCAAAGTAAAACTCATTTTAAAAAACAATTCGTTTTCACTTTGCTAAAAGGATACGGTTAAACAGTGACAGTTACGATCAGAACAAACAGAAAAGTGAAATGTGTTTTTCCATTGTCTGGTTCAGTGCACCGGGCTTTCTGCTTTACTGTGTCTAATTAGACCTGGAGCCAAAACTGCATTTGCACAGCAACCATATTACAGAGCCATTATGCTTTGGGAAAAGCGTTTGAGTCGTAACCTTTAAGTAAATTCCAGAGTTTATGCTCACTCTCTGCCTCTTCATCTAAGAGGAATGTCCAGCTCTTATCCTGCGGGACTCGTTGAGTCTTTAGTGGGAGTGCAGCTCCGTGATACACGGCTCCTGTTGTGCACCATCCTGGCTCAGATTATTAGAGCCACACATCACAGCCGAACAGCGGACACAAAGAACAGTAGTAAATGTTGAAGAAAAGAAACTTCAACAGCAATTAACACTAAATAGGCAAGGACTCAGCTTACCACTGCCCAGGGAGCCAATTATCACTGTTAAAATGTTCATACTTAAAGGAGAGCAAGATGTTCCAAATATGTCTGTTATTTATTAAACTTAAACTACAATTTTACCACCACATCAAGTAAAAATCAATATACACTTTATGCACAAACGTCAACATTCCTAATTTTTTTTTCTTTTCTCAACAGCCTTAAACCTAACAATTGATTTCTTCCTACAGTGAACATCAATAAAATGGGTTGTCGTTAGAGACCCCGGGCATTACTCATAACCTCAGCCGTCGGTCCACTTCTCCTCTTTACTGCCGACATCTGTAAAAAGATTAACAAGTTGTTCCGATTTGCCCTCCAGGGTTAATTTTAACAGTGGGAGTTTCAATTTAATATTGTCTCTCTGTAATGGAGTGATAATAATTTTATTTTTGTCTCTCTGTAATGGAGTGATAATAAATAACAACTTAAATAATAAGGTCATTACTTTTAATCCTCAGGCGGCGGCTGGGTCTAATGTAAATGAATGTTCTCTGGCTCCTAGTTC